AAGAAAGAGTTAATTTACAAAGTTTTCCCAAATCTAACACTAAATTACAAAAATCGTCAGTGGCCATTGCACGGGCTATATTTGTGTAAATACCTACAATAAATAACACCATATTCTAAACGAAATTCCAGGCAACACGATTTTAATGTAACAGTGCATCTATACCGTAATGAATCAATATAAAAATGTTAAATATCGAACTGAATTCTTAAATTCACTTCATTTGCTAGGCATGCCACCGCAGTACCGCACATTGAAATTTGACGTGCCCGTCATTTACGAAACATTAATCCACCACGACTCTGCAACGGTACCAGACTTACAGTGAAAAAGTCTATGAACATCATCGAAGCTACAATTTTAAAAGGAAAGTTTTAAGTCGGAGATGCACTGTTGCCACGCATCCCAATGATGAGATATGCCTTTCGAACTCACCTTTGAAACGACCATCAACAAAGCACAAGGACAATCGCTACAAGTGTGTGGAATTTGAAAAATCCATGCTTCTTACATGGACAGCTGTATGTGGCGTGCTCATGTGTCGGAAAACCTGATTAATTTGTATACGCACCAGAAGGAAGAACAAAAAATATTGTATATTCAAATRCACTTCAATACTGTGTGTTAAATACATTTATATTACGACGAAATTTGGTACAATGATATATAAGACCTAAGGGCAGARGATAGTCTAAGTTAAAAAGTGATAAGCCCAAGTATCATTCAATTGAATATTTGAATTGTCAAACTTTTCTCGATAAAATGAATAAAAATATAAACTAAATTGAATACCTATATGTATAAAAATATATTCTAGCATAGTCACAAGAAATAAATGTAACCCACGGTTTGAGATAAATAAAATGTAGGATTTTTAAGAGGCTACGAAGTGCACGAGTTCAGCTAGTAAAATTATAAATTATTACTCAGCATGAAATTKTTTTATCTTTTCCATTATTTGTTGTCTATTGTTCGGTAGGAACATTTTATCTCTGACAGCTATTTGCATGAAGTGTGGGCAAATGGCGCCTATAAGTCCTAAAAATATGGTGTGATAAAGTAGACGCCTACTTAAGTGCATTAAGATGTTCTCCAATAGGTATATATAAGAGCTATATAGCTATAGTGCCTTATCTAGGATTTTAAGCCAAAGTTTTAAAAATTTGTCTACCCATTTTTATATTTTATACCTTGGTATTAGAAGTTAAGGAAATAAATGGACGTCATTCTAAGGTATCGGGTTTCAAGCCTTCAACATTCAGAATCTGCACATTAAAAATATTTTATAGATACCCAGACACCCAGTACCTACCTACTGAGTACTGGCTAATTATATTTGACGCAAAATGTTGATTGTTGAGAATAAAAATTGATCATTAGTGTAAAAAATATACTCGTAATACTTCGATGTTGTAGTATGTTATTTACCAAAAAAACTACGGTTGTTAATACCGTACGTATTCGCACCGTACCGTACCGTACGGTTCTTATTTTACCTACTGATAACCGATTAATAACAATTTATTAAACAAAACTTAATGGCATGCTGACGATCAGCAAGTATTTTTTTTATTCGCTTTTAGTGTAACTATGATAGCTCAACAATTATCAAAATATAACAAAGATAATTATTAAGATTTACATTATAAAATAATATTCGTGAAACATTGTGATTTAAATGATAATAAAGGAGTATTAAATAAAATAATAATGGATAGAAAACACATTCAAATGTACAGTTACAGATAGCGTATTCGACATTTAAAATTATTATAATATAGTAATGATGGTCGATGGAGTAATAAAGATTGGATTATGGAATAAGTTGTTTGTTTAGAACAACAGTAAGTAAATAGCGTAGGTAATTAGAGGATTACCTAATTAATGAGGAAAGTACAGAAATAAATTTAGCAAACGACTTATCGCTAGTGTTATRGCTATTAGGTAATGGGATAGTATTGGAATCGGTGGCAGAGGCGAAAAAAAATTTAGGAAGGTGAGGAGTGAGAGTTTCAAGATGATAAGGCGAGAATACAGTATTTGGATTTTGTGTTTTTGAATGAGATGTTTTGCTGCGTTTGAGAAGTGGTTTAAATGATGGGCATTCCCTGTAGTTGGAGGCGATTACGATCGCCCATGCAAAGGGTGCATTTGACTGGGCTGTCTTTCAAAGACTGTCTTTGTCCTTAATAGTTTAATGCAAGTGTCTGTGGAGTGGTCACCCCTACTCTTGACACAACGCAAAAAATGAYGGTATAATAGTTTGTTGTGTGACCGTAATTCTAGTAGTTTCTACCCTGGGGTGGACGACTATTGGTCCTATAGGGTATTTTGGCTTTGTTGTAGGTGTTGGGATTTAGTTCCATGGGAAACAGAGGGCACGGGTTGCCATTTTTGATGACGTTCTTTTTGATATATCAGAGATGAGTGTTGTGTGGTCCAGATTTCTTATTATGAGTTTTTATGACCTCATATGGCCGATATGTTGGGGGCATCAACGTGTGAAAACGGGCACTGATTTCCATTAAATGATTTGCTATTGCATTAAACATAAGGCGTCCATGAAGGCRAATGATAAGAAAAGAGGACGTGGACTTACAAGTAAACCGGCCATTATTGGGCCGGTGATTTGTACTAACGCATTTTTGAAAGTGAAGTAATTGATTATGTTTTGACTTTTGAACATTTATTGGCGGAGTCTTGGAGTTGTCTTGTTGAATATTAGTAGTAGTAGAATCGWCGATCATGTTTGAAGTAACACTTGTGGTCAGAGGTTAAAGTGGGAAAAAATTCCAGAGGGGACTAATGTCTCCATATAGTTTTAAGCGTTCCATATATCATTTTATGTATAATGTCTAATGTATAAAATCCTAATTTGTTAAAGGGGACGCTTTTTAACCGCCATCAGAGGTAAGGGGACTGAGTCCTCCTGCGTCCCCCCCCACTTTAACCCCTGCTTGTGGTGTCGAGTTTGATTTCGTTATCCTCTGTATTCGCAAGGACAGCGAATTTATTTGGCRAGACGAATGACTTGGATTTTTTATGCTCTGTTTAGATAGGTGAATTTGGAGATTATGGCAGCGACCGTTTGGGCTTGGACATTTTCGGAGAGAAGGTGTTAGATATATTAATAAAGGAAATGCGAACAACGGAGTGGAAACCGTAAATAGATTACATATAAATTAATTAATACCGCTATAACGGAACGGGCAATTGCACATCGTGCGACCRTGTTGCAGGTCAATACCGCACTGATAAAATATTTTAATACTTTATAAATCGTTATTTACACGTCATAACAGAAAACTTCTAAATAAATGCCGTGTAATGTTTTTAACTCAAATCACTGCTGGACTGCTGTGCCTAAACATTTTCCCGTAATAAAATGAAATTAATATATGACTAGAACTGAATTGATT